CCAAGATGTCAAAATCCTAATAATAACCTTTATTAGATTATCAGTAGTGTTACTCTGACAGAATTTGTGAATTCAAAAGTTATTTAAGAAAATTAGCGTAGCCTCTTAGATCTGTACACTTACATTTTAATAAACATATTTCTCTGTAAAAATAAAGCTTTATGTTTATGAGTATGGGTTTTACCCACAGGCTTTCATATGTCCAATATTATAAATGCATTATACATATTTTAAATTGTCTAATTTCCATTTAGATGCATAAAGTGCATACTCCATTTGGTTGGCATTAACTGGATCGTACATAACTATTATCTTTGCATGCACACAGGGTGAAATCTGTCTGATTGGACAACAAATGTGCTATATCATATAATTAGTATCAGAAAAAGGATTATCTGAGCATTATGATACTATTCTTTGGAGTATTGTGAGTAATATAAAATAGAAACTAGCTTTTTTAGAAAGCACAAAACCTGTGTAAGAAAAAATACGAGTAATACGAGTAAGAAAAGGAGCCTCAGATAACTATGATTGACTGTAATCAAAATTCAAACATATGTACACTGTAAGAAAAGTCCATTAAAAAAACAGCCCAATGTGCCATGTTAATATTTATTAATTTTTCACAGGTGTTTTTCCAGGATTTTCTAATTGTGCATTATATTTTAAGGTTGAAGGAAATGTCCATAAACGTAACGACAGTGATACTGGTAATTTTCTGCCAAGACAACATGCATTTTCTACGGAATTTCTTTTTCTTACAGTGTACATTAATGCCAAAAAGAGCAAGAATTAATCACAACTCTTGAGAGGAAGCTAACCTCATATTTGTCTCTGCAGTGTTAATATATTTCTTGGTGGATCATTTCTGTCTATCTCTGTGAAATGAATCCAACAACAGGTATGTTTCCACTTGACATAACTCTCTACGGATGCCCATGGTAAAGCTTATTTGACATCTATACATAAATATATATATACACACACATGCACATTCTGCTTCTCACACTGACCTTACACACACACACACCGACACACACACACACACACACACACACACACACACACACAC